TGGCTGGGGTGGGACTGCACCTCCCAGATGGTACGTTGTTGCATGGAAAGAGGGACTGGAGCTACCATGCTGGGAATTAAATTTCAACATATGAAAATTTTTTGTTGTTTTTTGTTTGTTTGTTTTGGTTGGGGGATTGAGACAGAATCTTGCTATGCAGCCCAGGCTGGCCTGAACTCTCAATCCTCCTGCCTCAGTCTCCCGAGTTCTGGGATCACAGGTGTGCACCACCATGGCTGGTTCAAAATAACAATTTTGAGGAGACACTGACATTCAGACCATAGCAAGGCACCTGTTGATACCCTGATTTTAGACTTCCACCCTCCAGAACTGCAAGACAATTAATTGCTGTTTCAAGCCACCTGCTTGTGATACTGTCAGCAGGCTGAGCAAATGAACGTACCTGGTGAGTCCCTCAGTGTGTTACACTCCACACAGCAAAGGAATTGGTGTGCTGTAAGAGCAGGGACCCCTTCCACCTGTCACTAAGGACTCAGAGGTGCTAGGAAAGGTATCCTGGGCCCAGCATATGCAGGCGGATTCTTTGTGACCCAGTCATATCGGCTATCTGGGTGCCTGGGAGCAAATGACTGGTTGAGAGGTTGGGTCAAGAGCCCAGGAAGTTACGAGCCCTCAGCAGACTACAGTGCTCCCCAGAGGTAATTTAAAACAAAAGCAACACTGACCATAGGACAGTTAGCTCTCAAAATGACACCATGTTTGCTTGCATGTTGACAGGAGCAGGTTGACAGGTTTTTGGGTGTGGCTTGCTGGTGGGCTCTTGGATCACAGGGTCTGGGTGGATGACATTGATCTCCAAAGAGCCCAGTAAATTCAGAGCTGGTGCACTCAGCCTCTGGAAAAATTGTGGGGCAGGTCGCTGGTCTCAGGGGCTCCCTCTCAGTTCCCTGTGGCTCTGCAAGCTAGTTCAAATAATCTGGACCCATATACATGACCCTTGTGGTACTGGGTATTGAACTCAGGGTCTCACACTTGCTAGGCAGGAGATTTATTACTTGAGGCACACACCCAGCCCTTTGGTGTCTATTATGTTTGTTTGGATGGGGTCTTGCTAAATGCTTGGTCTGGCCTGGAATTCTCTCCATCCTCCTGCCTCCCAAGTAGCTGGGGTTACAGGTGTGCACCACTATGTGTGGTTCACATTAATTTCATTAACCTTCAGAACAACTGTATGAGATGAGCTCTGTTATTGTCATTTCCCAGAGGGGGAAACAGAGGCACAGGGACACTGAAGAACCTTCCCAAGGTCACTGGTAGGCACCATGAAGGAGTTAGTTTTCTTCTGGGCAAAGGCCAGTCTTCACACATAGTGCAAAATGGGTCCATTTTGTGAGGCTACGTCCCAGTGGCCTTTGAGAGGATGTGGTACCCTGTGTGACACTTCTGAGCTTTAGTGTGTGATTATTCTGATTTCATTCGCAGTAGAATGAAGGTCCTAAGTTGTCAAGGAATTGAAGATCTTAGTGAATTTTTTTTTTGGCAGTACTGAGGTTTGAACTCAGGGCTTCACACTTGCTAGACAGGTGCTCTACCACTTGAGACATGCCCAGCCCTTTAGTTATTTTCCCATTATGGTCTTGCATTTGTGCCAGGGCAGGTCTGGACCTCCACACTCCTATTTCTACTTCCCCATGTTGCCTTCCACCGTGTCCAGCCATTGGCCTCTTGAACTTTTTGCCCTGGCTGGCCTTAAACTGTGACCCTCCTGATCTCTTCCTCCCAATTAGCTAGGATTACAGGAGTGAGCCCGTGCACCTGGCTGCTTATTTATTTTTTGAGTAGTGTCTTGCATTTATGCCCTGGACATCCTAGATCTGGATCCTCCTTATTATGCTTCTGGAAAAGTGGCACCCCCCACCCCAGCTTTTATTGGTTGAGATGGGGTCTTGGTAACTGTTTGCCTAAGCTGGCCTCTAACCGCGATCCTTCTGATCTCTGCTCCGAGTAGCTAGGATTACAGATGTGAGCCACCGCTCCCGGGCTACGTGCACTTTTCACAGCTTAGCTTCTTTCTCCTGGACTTTGAGGTTCCTTCCCCTCTGCCAGCATCTTCCCTGGCTCCTGGTGCTCCTCCCAGATGTGGGAAAGGAACATGCAGGTGCAGTTCTGCAATGTGACGCCAGATGGCGATGCCCGGGAGCGCCTCACCGGCCCTGGCTGGGCGCACCGTGAGTCAGTCCATTCTTAGCCTCCGTTAACTCGGCTCTTGAAAGTCACCCGCGGACCGAAGCGAGAGCCCCTGTGCAGGAAGGGATGAGAAACGATTATTTCACTGCAGCTGGGGAACACATGGGGACAGAGACCACAAATGACAAAATGAGTGGCCTGGGAAAGGTGCTCAGTCCTCTGACGCCCAGCACCCTGCACAACTGAGTGGAGCCGCACGGGCACGGGCGGGCACGTGCATCGCGACACTTCCTAACCCCGTACCCAGGTTGTCCCATCTGCGACATGGCCACGACAGCCGTGTCTACTCGGCAAAGTTGGTGCCACTGTCCTTGGAGAGCTTCCTGAAGCCTCTTTCCGACCAGAGATGGCTCACGGCCAGCCCCGGGCGTCTGGGGACAGGGGCGGGGACTCGCCGCAGCCTCGTCCTGATTCGGTGCCAAGGGCGCCTGCCTGGGCTGGGGCCGCGGCTCTGGCCCGGTTCCCACGCGGGACGCAGGAGCGGGAGGGGCTCGGGGACCAGGGGACCAGGGGACGACCCGGAAGGCCCCGGAGCCGGAAGGAGGGAGGGCGGGGCCGGGGCGGGGCCGCGGCCTGCAGCGGGCGCGGTGCGGACCTCGGTGTCCCGGCGATCGTGGGCCTCGGTGTCCCCGCGGAGCCGTTCCCCGCCAGGCCAAGTGTCCGACGCGGGTCGGGGACGCCGCCGCAGATCGTGCCATCTCCAGAGGCCGGGCGCCCAGGCCGAGGCCAAGTAAGGCGCGGGACGGGGGCGCGCGGGGGTGCGCCCGTGCCCGTGTGTGAGCGCGCGTGCCTTTGCGCACTTGTGATGCGTGCGTGCGCGCGCACTTGTGGATGTGTGCAGTGTGTTGTGTGTCCAGCGTGTGAATTGGGGAGTACAGTGCGTGTGATGTGTGCACGTGTGTGCAGTGTGTGACGGGTGGGTGTGAGTGTGGGATGGGTCGTGTGTGGGCGTGTGTGTTACGTGCTGTGTGAATGCGTGTGATGTCTGAGCGTGTTACGTGATGTTTGCAAGCTTGCATGTCTGTGGTGTGTGATTTGATGTGTGTGCCGGTGTCTGCGTGTGTGGATGTCACTGTGTGTGTGTGTTACACTCACTGTGTGGATCCTAGTTCGGGCCAGCACACTGCCTGACCCATGGCCAGGGACCCAGCTCTGATTTGGAGGTGGTCAGGAAGGCGTAGCAAGGATTTAGGAGGCTGGATGAGTTTGGGGGGACAGGTAGCTGGCCTCACGTTTTCTGGAAAGAACTATGGCTACTCTGAGAGGTGCAGTTGCCTGTTTATGAACTAAGTAGGTAGATAAGGTGTGTGCCTCACTCAGGCGGGGCCGTGTGTGCACACTTGTGTACATGGAGAGGGTGGTGTCGTCCCTGGGCAGCCTTGGACTGCACTGCTGAATAGAAAGTCCCCGCCAACATAGCCTTCTGATTTTTCAAGAGAAATCAGGAATCTGAGCTGTATGACAAATCTTAAAGCATTGGCAGTTAATTAATTTAAAAAGTAAGCCCTGTGTGTGCTCTGCCAGCGATGTTTGCTGGTGGGATCGATGCGTGCCCTTTGTACCAGAGAGAGTTGGGGAAACAAAGTTTACCAGAGCCAGTGTGAGCAAAGATTCCACAAATTCCCTGGAGATGTGGAAATTGCTGAGGGTTTCGGGTGAGCTCTCAGAGCCAGCCCTTACCAACTTTTCTTTTTTATTATCATTATTATTTACTTACTTATTTTACAGTGCCAGGGACCGAACCCAGGGCCTCATGGAATAAAGAACAGAGAGCAAGCCCTCCTCTCCATCCCCTCTCACAATCTGGTCAAAGTCAGAAAGCAAGATTGTGTCCAAGACAAGGTCTTATCTTCACCTCTGTGTGACATAGAGCCCTGCTGTGACAACAGTGCAGCCGGGAACTTCCAGCTGGCACTTGTCTTCCCTGTGGCTGTCCCCTGGGCTTCGTGAGACAGGACATGTTTTGAAATAGGTGTGGAATAGGGGAAGAGCCACACTCCACTTCTGCCTCCTGCCCCTCTCTCTCTTCCTGTCATTCACAACTTGGGGGTGGGAGAAGAAGAAGCAGGACAACTCCTCTCAATTTGGTGAGCCCAAGCTTTCAGCATGGGCTCATGGGGTCAGAAACCTTTCTTTTTTTTTTTGGTAGGACTGACTGGTGTTTGAGCTCAGCACTTCGTGCTTGCGAAGTAGGGACTCTACTGCTTGAGCCACACCTCTAGTCCCTAGAAACCTTTCTTTCATAGAGGTTGTTGATGCTCTAACTTTGGAAATGAGACTTGCAAGGAGTTTAAACCAGCCTTGCCTCGTAGGGGGTCAGCCACAGTGCTGCAGAAGAATGGGGTCCTCCTCCCCAGCTCCCCAACTTGCCATGTCATTCACTGTCCCTCTCTTTCTGCAGAGCCCTGGGCTTGTGCCTCGGAGTTGGCTGGCTGGGCCAAGTGGGAGAGGGGAAAGAGGAAGTAGCATTTGCACACTGATTTCTCATCAGCCCTGGGGTTTCACTTAAGTCATCCAGGAAGATTTGGAAACTGTTTTCTGTTTGAGTGGACAATAGTGAAATTGTCCCCCTTCTCTTACTGACAGTTTGACATTCAGTTAACCTGTGGTCAAATATTAAATGAAGATTCCAGAAGGAATTGCTTCGGGCTTTGTTGTTTTTTGTTTTTGTTTTGTTTTAGTTTTGGTAGGGCTGGAGTTTGGACTCAGGGCTTCATGCATGCAAAGCAGGAGCTCTACCACTTGAGCCACACCTCCAAGTCCATTTTGCTCTGGTTATTTTGGAGATAAGATCTCATGAACTATTTGCCTGGGCTGGCCTGAAACCTCCAAATCTCAGCCACCCTAATAGCTAGGATTATAGGTGTGAGCCACCAACACTTGGCTGTGTTCTCCAGAGGCAATCTGTGAGTTTTAAATTGTTCCTGAGATTTAAATCATCACACTGGGTAGTGTGATGAAACTTCACACCATCCTGCTCCATCCCGCCTGGGTCATGAATCATTCCCGCATCCAGTGTATCCACACTGTATGCACTGCCTCCCCGTCACTGTCCAGCCACCTCAGTTATTAGGTCAACTCGTAACGCCTATTGTGGTCATGTTCAAGCCAGCCTTATTTCACTTAATAAGAGTGCCGGAGCTCAAAAGGAAAAGGAGGCACCACGTATAAAACCTGGAGGGTCAGACTATCTGTGGTACTGTGTTAGCAACACTACAGGGCATATAGGAAAAACAAAAGTGTGGCCAGGCCGCAGGGGTCCACACCTGCAATCCCAGCTACTCCCGAGTCAGAGATCAGGGGAATCGCGGTTAAGAGCCAGCCTGGACGAATAGTTCAGAAGACCCTATCTCAAAAATACCCACCACAAAAAAGGGCTGGTGGAGTGGCTCAAGTGGTAGAGCGCCTGCCTAGCAAGCGTGAGCCCTGAGTTCAAACATCAGTACCACCAAAAAGAAAAAAGAAAAGAAAAGAAAAAGTGTGGGATTATCCTGCATTCAGGTAAATCCCAAGGGGGTCGGTCTTGGAACAGAGCCATTGTGGATGAGGGAGACTACTGCATGCATCTGGATCCTACCTCTTTGCAGATTTCACTTTTCACTGTGCAAAAACTGTATTAAAGTCCACAGCCATAATTCTGCAGAAAACCCATTTTAGGAGTGGCGTCTGGACCCTGAGTGGGAGCCAGCCTTACAGACCAAGAACGCAGAACTCAGCATCCTGGAGCCCCTGCAGCAGGAGTCCTGGCACCCTTCAGAGCGGCTTTCCTGAGACTTTTCCAGTGCAGTCGACAGACGCTAAGCTGGTTATAACAGACAGAAGCTACACAGTGACCAGGTGTTTTACAGTGGGACTTTTTGAAAGGTTTCACCATAGACTTGGTTGCATTGGCTATCGCGATGAGCAGTTGAACTAAAACTCATTTTGACAGCCTAGCTTTTCAGGATCGTGGCTCCTGGTAAATCAGGTAATGCCTTCTGTCTCCCTTTCCAGGTGGCTTCCACCATGTTCTTCTCTGTGATTAAGATGTTATTGTCATGATGTTTGTGTGTGGCCAACTTCTGAGCAATAGAGGAACAGAACAGGGTTCTCTTCCAGGGAGGAGGAGGAGGGGGAGAAGGCATTTAATGTTCCTGGATGCTGATGGACAGGGAGGAGTCTAGAAGCAAGACACAGAGCACTCAGAGTAGGGACAGGTATGTCTGAGTCCTCCCCTGTCTCTCTCATAGTCCACGTGCCATGGGGGACACCTGTCTGCAACTTCTGAATTCAAGGACTGGGTCACCTATCCCACTCTTGATGCCCAAAGTCAGATCCGAAGACCTCCTGGGGTTGTCAGAAGTGCAGAATCTTGCCAGGCGTGGTGGTGTACCTCTATAATCCCAGCTACTCAGGAAGTAGAGGTAGGAGGATTGCAGTCCAAAGCCAGCTCTGGGCAAAAATAAGATTCTGTCTGAAAAATAAACTTGCACCTCAAGCTTAAGAGCACCTGCCTAGCAAGTGTGAGACCCTGAGTACAAACCCCAGTACCGCCAAAAGGAGGTGCAGAGTCCTGCTGTACCACGCTGGTTGCCTTTAACAAGGTCTTACATGATCCTGTGCTTTTGTGGGGCGTTCTTGACCTAAAGCGTATCAGAAAGAAAGAGGAAGGGACATTTAGGGAGGAGCCCTGGGTTCTAGAGGTCTGGGAGCCACGGATTCCCTCTAAGGGCTGGAAACTCCCAGAATTGACAGGGCAGTTTGACATTGAGACCCCTGGTTCTGGATAACCACGGAGTCAGAAAAATCTCCTATTACGAAAAGCCATTAACCAACAGTGCTGCACCCTTCCTCTGTCCACCTCCTTCGGCTTTCCAGCTGTGCAGAAGGGGACATGCTGACGGAGCTCTGGTCCCCAAGTTCCCCGAAGTCCAAGGACACAGCTCTGATTTCTCTTCCCAGCCCTAACGTTTGGACTCCCCTTTCCCACCCATCACTTGGTGGACAGAGCCCTCACCTCACAGCAAGGTCAAGTTTCTTCACCCCAGAGAATTGATCTAAAGGTCTCTGCTAATGGTCTGTCCATCTGTCCATCCTTCCATACGGCAAACGCCTCCTGGGGTTCTTTGATTTACTTCATTCTCTGGTGGCTTCATAGAACGAGTTTGGACATCTTGTCTGCTCCTGACGTCCCATGTGTAGGGTCTTTGAGGAACAGGTGTTCAAGGAAGCATGCCGGCACAGAATGTCCACTTGGTGCCATCAAACACGCACTGAGTGCAACATCCCCGACTCAAAACAGACATGTCACCTCCATGTGAGGCGACACCTCACAAGAACCCAGCCTGTGAAGGTTTAGTCTGCTGACATTGTGCTCGGGGCCGCACAGCAGGCAAGTGCCAGGGTGGTCCCATGGTCCCGTCCTTTGTCCTCCTCTGGCACGGTGTTAGCTCGGATGCCCTGGCATGTGAGAGAGGACACCTGACTGCGACTTTCCGGTCCCTGCCAGGCTGTGTGTGCTGAGGATCACAGGGGCAGTTGAAAGGGCGCTGGAGCAACAGAGGTCAGGTTCACTCCCTGGTGCAGAGCAGCCTAGCCTGTGGCTGTCATAAACGAGAAGCTTATCGGAAGGCAGAGACCTTTGATCCACTCTGCTGTTCCCTTTACTTCTCAGCTAACTGCTGGCCTGCTGCTCTGAGACAGAACACTTGCCACGGTGTAGCCGACTGTCACACACTCGGCTGAGCTGCTTGTTCTCTGTGGAAAACGGGGAGCCTTCCTCAAGACTCTAGGCTGAGTAGCGTTTGGTCAGAGGTAACCCCCAAGCTCATTAAAACCCTCCTTGGAATTTTCCTTTAGATCGGCCAAGATGCCTGTCATGGTGCAAGACATCATGAAGCTGCTGTGCTCCATCTCTGAGAAGAGGAAGATGAAGGCAGCCGTCAAGCACTCTGGGAAGGGTGCCCTGGTCACAGGGGCAGTGGCCTTTGTCGGTGGTTTGGTTGGTGGCCCACCGGGACTAGCTGTTGGTAAGTGTGGGGGTCTCACAGAGACAGCAGCCTGTGGGTGTCATAAGAAAGTCTTTGAAGTCAGGGGCTGGTGGCTCGCAGCTGGAATCCTAGCTACTGGGGAGGCAAGGATCAGGAGGATTGTGGTTCAAAGTCAGCCCCAGCAAACAGATCCTGAAACCCAATCTCAAAAAAAAAAAAAAAACAAAACACCTATCATAAGAAAAAGGCTGCTGGAGTGGTCCAAGGTGTAGGCCCTGAGTTCAAACCCTAATACTGGGGAAAAAAAAAAAAAAGTAAGTCTGAAACCACAAGAGGAAGGAGCTTGTAAGAGCCATGCCCCTCACCCTGTGTGTGGAGACTGTGGAGGGCAGGCTGCTTCTGGGAAATGACCCTTTGTGTGTCATATGTCCTGTTAGAAATACAAGCTTGTAGCCGGGCACCTGTGGCTCACACCTGTAATCCTAGCTACTTGGGAGGCTGAGATGAGGAGGGTCGTGGTTCAAGGCCAATAGACCAAAATAGTTTGTGAGACCTCCATCTCTAAAATAACCAGAGCAAAATGGACTGCAGGTGTGGCTCAAGTGGTAGAGCACCTGCTTTGCCAGGGTTAAGCCCTGAGTTTACACTCCACAGTCTCATCAAAAAAAAAAAAAAAAGAAAGAAAAACACCTACCAGAAGGGAGCCAGGGGGAAGCTGGGACTGTGAGCTCCTGCTATGAGCAGAGCCTGTGTAACGCTCCACACAGGGACTGTCCCCTTCTCAAAGCAAAATGTCCAAGGCCAGAAAAGTGACAGATAAGCAAAACAGCCTCCCTTTACTCGTAGAAGAGTGATCTCTACCTGCATTTTAACACCTGCTTCCATCTGGGAACCAGCTTCAGCAATGAATGGACGTTCGGCTAATTTTCCTATTGCTCCTTGGAAATAAGATGGATCTATTCCCTCTGGATTGGGGACTGTGTCACAGGCCTCAGGCTCAGGGCTCCAGCCCAACCATAGTGTAGGATGGACTCAGAGAGCTGGCTGACGCCCAGGGGAGATGATATGAAAGGGCTGCCTCCAGGCAGCCTCTGATGGGCATCCTGTGACTGCTGGGCACCTGCCATGCCTGGCTGGCTAGCTATTTACTGAATGAATGCCCTGTGCTGGGAGGCAGGGCTCAGAGAGCTCACAGTTGTAGGTGTGAAAGAACAGAAGACGGGAGCCCTTCCTGTGTGACTCACAGTCCCCCCAGGAGTGCAGGCTGCAGAGCCCACTTTCTTGCTGAAATGCACTCCCATTCCCCAGCCAGCTGACAAGGCTTCCTGCTTAGCTTTACCCTTTGGTGGCAGGACTGTCATTCAAAGGCACTTCATGAAGCTAAAGTCACCCTAGGGAGAAAACAAAGCATGTGGGTGGCCCCAGACCTTCCCCGAATACATACATCTCCCTTCCTGTGAGTTCATCAGTCCTGACTTCCCCTTGCTGCCATCTGGGAAGGACCCAGACAGGGAGCAGATGAGGTCATTTCCTTCTTCCTCAATGACATTCTGAGTCTCTGTGTCCCCCCACTCCCTTCTCAAGTGCTCATAGGATAACTGTATCCTATGGCTGTGCCCTGTTACCATTTTGAGAGTCTGTTATTTTATTCAGATTGAATAAAAGCTGGCAGCATGTCCTGCAGGGAACTCGGGGATTCACCATGTCCAGTCCCCCGGCCACGGTGAGAGCATCGCTTTACCCAGAAAACAAAGGACTTTTCTCTTCTACAAAGAGCGAATTTGCTGATCGATATTCCTGGGGATGTTTTGCACCGAGTGCTGCTCTAAATCAAATATTGATGTCCCTCTGCAACTCTTGCCGGTTCAAAGCATTTCCTGGGTGCCATGGGGAAGAGTTCAGTCAAACCTGTAAATTAGCTGCTTTGCCCTCCCCAGAAGGCTTCAGAGAGACGGCGAAGAGCCTTCAGCCTCCAGGACTTGAGCTGGTGCTGGTCTCAGTGCCAGAGGAGGCATCTGCTCCAGGAGCTGCCTGGGTTCTGCTGCCTGCCATCTTCTTATTGACTTTATTTTTTTTGCTGGTGGTGAGGTTTGAACTCAAGACCTTGTGCTTGTGATGCAGGTGCTGTACCATGGGAGCCATGCCCTTTCTTTTTCTGTTTTTTTAAATCAGATTGGGTCTTGTAACTTTTGCCCAGGGCAAGCCTCAGACTGCTATCCTTCTCCCTCTGAGTAGCTGGGATTACAGCTGTGCTTCACCGTACCTGGCTCCTGCTGTCTTCTGAGCGTAGGCTGTATGCAGGTTCGGTCTGCCTGAGCTGCATTATTTATTAATTAAAAAAAGAACTGAGAGAGTCTTGAATCATAGCCCAGTGTGGAATGGAACTGACAGTCCTCCTGCCTCAGCCTCCTGAGTGCCTAATTACAGGTGTGCACCACCACGCCTGGCTACGCTGTTTTAAAAAAACAAACTTTTCATTTTGGAATAATAATAGATTTACAGAGATGTGGCAAAGGTTGTACAGTGAGTCCCCACATATCCCTCACCTGGTGTCACTTCCCCCAGTGTTAACGTGTACTATGATACATTTGTCAAACCTGAGGAGCCAGCACTGACTGTTACCTTTAACCATTTTCCTGTCTTTTTGGCAAGTGAGCCCTGAACTCAGGGCTTCCCTCTTCCCTCCTTTTTTTTTTTTGGTAGTACTGGGGCTTAAACTCAGGGCCTTCACCTTGAGCCACGCCACCAGCCCAATTTTTTGTGATAGGGCTTTTCTAGGTAGGGTCTCTAAAACTATTTGCCCGGGCTGGCTATGAACCTTGATCCCCCGGGATAGTTTCTTAAACTTTCTTATTTTTTGGGACGGTGGTAGTTTGAAGGGGCCTGGCAGGTGTTGTACAGAATATCTCTCTGTCTGGGCCCTTCTTATGTGCCTGTCATGTTTGGACTGAGCCGTGGGTCTTTGGAAGGAATTCTTGGAGCACAGTGTTTTTTTGCATCAGTTCAAGGGGCACAAACGTGACCTCACAGCTGGTGTTGACCCTGACTGCTTGCTGAAGGTCATGTGGGCTGCTTACTGAAGGTCATGTGGGCTGGGTTTTCCCATTGTCAAGTAACTTTCTTTTCCCCTTTCCATACTCTGTTCTTTTGGAGTGAGTCACGGAGTCCAGCCAGGCTGTGTCTTTAAATATCTGATGGCTGGTATTTTAAAACTATGGCACATTGTAAAGATGCAAATCTGATGTTCTGAGTGGCAGCTGCTCCTTGAGTCAGGGACTTGGCCAGGCCCCCCAGGTCACACTGGCCACCCTGGTTCACTGCTCATCACCTGCCCCGGGACACCTGCCTCAGCCTGTGCTCGGCCTGGTGAGGAGGCCGGTGCCATTGTACAAAGCCTCCAAGTTGCAAAATTAGCAGCAAGCTTGGATTCTAAACTGTTCGTGTCCTTGTTGGGTAGCAGAAAGAGAAACTGTGAGTTTCATTTCTTATTTGTCATCAGACAACTTGGAAGAATGGTTGGAAAAATGTCGCTTCAAGAGAAAGGACCCTTGGACTGCAGGTGTGGCTCAAGCAGAACACTTGTTTAGCAAGAGCAAAGCTGTGAGGTCAAACTCCAGTTCACCAAAAAGGGGGGGTGGATATACCCATATATATTTCTTTCTCTCTTCTGTATGTATATGAGAGAGAGAATGAAAGAAAATGTGTGTGAGATTGAGAGAGCAAGCGAGCAAGAGGAGAGGAAAGACCTTATCTGTCCCCAGGGTCCTTTAACCATGGCAGATCTCTGGAAACTTCTTAAGCTCCAGGACAAGTGTCCTATCACCAACCAGCTGCCCTGATGAGGAATCATGACCGCACTAGAGGGGGGCTGTCCTGGAAAATGCATGTCCTTCACAGCCCCCTCCTTTGTGGTGAGAAGGGGCTCATGTGGTATGTGTGTGTGTGATGTGTGTGTGGGGGGGTCTCTGGCGCATGGAGAGGCACAGGCCTGCAGTGAGATGGGGTACCCCTCAGTTTGCAGAGCGGGGGTGGGGGAAGGGCACATTGAGGTGTCAGTTATCTGGGTCAAGTGCACCAAAGCCCACGTTAACTTTTGCCTCCCATGCATCCTGGTGGAGCTGAGCTCATTCTAAGCCACTCAGGATGTGCCATCCATTACGACAACGGGCACGCTCTCAGTGAGAGCCAAGGCCACCATTCAGGAGTGACGCCAACTAATTGAGTCGTCCTTGTTTTCTAGGGGGGGCCGTCGGGGGCCTGTTGGGAGCCTGGATGACAAGTGGGCAATTTAAGCCCGTGCCTCAGATCCTCATGGAGCTGCCTCCTGCTGAGCAGCAGAAGCTCTTTAACGAGGTCGCGGCCATCGTCAGGAACTTAGACTGGATGGACGCCGTGCAGCTGACCACGCTGGTCATGGGCAGCCAGGCCCTGCAGCAGCAGCTGGTGGCCATGCTTGTGAACTATGTCACCAAGGAGCTACAGGCTGAGATTTGCTACGATGACTAAGTCTCTCCCTCTGGGAAATGGGGACTGCATTTAGATGATTCTCGGACCCTCGGGTGGTGATCAGGGAGTCAGGGCCAGCCAGTGGGTTCCCCTGAGAGCTCTGTAGTGTGTTAGCCACAGATGGAGGGGACAACCTATTGGAGAGACCACCTGGGTGCTGTGTCACATCCAGCAGTTGTTGGGAAAGTCATGCATTTCGTGTTTGGATGTAGCAGCTGTCCTTTGGCGGGAAGTTGGAGGAGGCAAGGACAGGCCTGCCACAAGCTGTGGTGACAGCATTAGTGCTTACAAGGCACTTCCTCTCAATGGCTGGAAGAAGTTGTCACCTTCAGCTGGATTTCTGACTATACGTCTTACTCCTTGACTCCTTCTCCAGGCCCCTGTCAAAGGACTGGACCTTCCTCGGACACTGGGGTGTCCCTTCCTGGCCTGGGGCTTCTCAGTGGTCTCAGAGCAGGGTGGTGGCCCACTGAGTGAAACCACAAATGCTAAACACTTAGACCCCTTGTCCCACTAGCTGGAACCCCTGGGGTGACCAAGGTTACTTCCTAGGGCCTTGCCTTCCCTGCCGAAAAATCATGGTACTTCTTGATTCTTAATTGTTTAGGGTTTTTCTTTTTCTTTTTTAAAATTATTTTGTTCTCTAGACGTAGGCTAAATATCACTTTTAAAAATATTTTTTCCCCCCTGAGATGGAGGGTCCCTGTGTGGCCTGGCTGGTCTCCACCTCCTGGGCTCAAGTGCTCCCTCTGCAAGGCACCACCTGTTCTCTTCAAAGAGCATTTTTCCTGCCACATTAGCCCAAGGAAGGTCTTCTTCCTTCTCTGTTCCAGCTGCTTCCTCAGAGCGCTGACACCAGACGGTGACTTACGTGTGTCAAAAGGCAAAATTACAATAAATGGAATTTAAAGATCTCACCTGAGCTGGGAACAGTGGTACACATCTGTAGTCCCGGCTACTGGGAGGCAGAGGCTGGAGGATGACTTCAGCCTGGAAATTCAAGAGCAGCTCAGGAAATATAATGAAAGCCAGTCTCAGAGAGAGAGAGAGAGAGAGAGAGAGAGAGAGAGAGAGACAGAGAGAGAGAGAGACAGAGAGAGAGAGACTGATTTAGCTTCATCTGCAGTTGCAGAACTAGAGATACCTTATTCCAAGACTCCTTCACACAGACTGTGAGGAGTCAAGTGTTGGGGTGGACAGGACACCAAGGAAGTTAAATCAGAGGGACTCTTGCCTCTTTAGCTGTTTGGGGACTTGGCAGTGTTTCCCTCTCCTGATTTCCCCACAGCACAGTAGCTCAGTTTTGGCTTGGCCAGTGTGACCTAGTACAGAGCACAACCCAAACCAGTGGCCGCTCCTGCGTTTGATTTAATGTGAGTGACTCTATGTCCCCTGCTCCTAGGAGGACGGTGGACACTGTGGTCCAGTCCACTGCTATCTCTGTGCCTAGCACATGGTGGACACATAAATATTTTTGTTGTTTGTTTGAGACAGGGTCTCTCTATGAAGCCCAGGCTGAACTCCAACTCCTGATCCTCCTGCCTCAGCCTCCTGAGTGCTGGGATTACAGGTGTGCACCACCATGCCTGACTTCCATAAAAATTTTGAGTCAGTGTCTTCAAAACATTTCATATGCAACTCCTCTAGTGCGAAGACATGCTCTCCCATTGCAAAGTCAAGTTTCTCACTCCTCCAAAGTTACTGAGCTGCTAAATGAAGAAGCCAGAATTTGATCCCACATCTGTACAAACCCAAAGCCCTCAAACACAGTGCAGAGGCTTTCAGATTTATGGGAACTGGTAGTTCTTAAATGGTTATGTTATATTTATTTATTTATTGGTGGGATTTGAACTCAGGGCTTCATGCTTACTAGGCAATCACTCTACCACTTGAGCCACACCCCCCACATTTTTTTTTCACTACTGGAGTTTGAACTCAGGACCTACACCTTGAGCCACTCCACCAGCCCTTTTTTGTGAAGGGTTTTTTTTCAAGATAGGGTCTCACAACTGTGATCCTCCTGATCTGTGCCTCCGGAGTAGCTGGGATTACAGCCGTGAGCCACCAGTGTCCAGCGAGTTATTTATTTATTTATTTTAATGAAATGTTTTTGGTAAAATGCAGTGTTTTTTCTGAAGTGGTACAATCTTAAACCATCGGTAGGAAATGTTCCACCCTGAAGAGTCCCATAATACTGTATGTTTTTTGCTTTTAGACCTAGAACTTGGCTGTGTGGTCAAATTACAATAAATTTCTTTCCTGAAGTCATTTCTCATATATTATTATTATTATTATTTGTAGTACAGGGTTTGAACTCAGGACCTACACTTTGAGCCACTCCACCAGACCTTTGTTGTGAAGAGATTTTTGAGATAGGGTCTCGAAAACTATTTGCCCAGCTGGCTTCGAACCTCGATCCTCCTGATCTCTGCCTCCTGAGTAGCTGGGATTACAGGCGTGAGCCACTGGCTCCTGGCCCATTTATATTTTCTCACATTTGCAAGTTTCTACAAGGAACAAAAGAGAAGGCACCTGCTTTAAAGGATGAAAGAAACTTTCCTCAGCTCCAGTACCTGAGACCTGATTCCCGGGCTGGTCTTGGCCCCCTGTGCACTTCCCACCCCTGCCTCCTCTGGTAGCCCCTGTGCCTAGGCTGGGGCAGGGCAGGGTGGGCCCTGGGCTCTCCAGGGCTGTAGCACGGGCTTCCTGGGGTTTAGACGGGCACTGCAGAGCTCAGTACCCCATGTGTATGAGGACAGCTTCAGGGTGACTGAGGAAGGCTGGATCCTTCAGCTAGACCCAGGGCTCTTCAGTCAGCACCAGTCAGTTGGCCCCAACACGGGGACAGTGCTGCCCCTAGCATGGCTACCTCCATCCTTTCTGGTCTGCGTGAGTTGATGGGGTGACCTGCCCTCCCCTCCTGTGCCCACCCCCTGTGACCACTCTGTTGTCACCCGCCTCCCTTTTGACCTGCCCTCCTGTGCCCCACTCTCCTGTGACATATCCCTCCCCTGTGACCCACCCAGTTGTGCCCCATCCAACCGTCCTGTGACCTGTCCTCCTGTGGCCCGTCCTCATCAACTAAGGGGACAAAGGGGATGTTGTCTGAAAGCTGAGCATGACATTGTTGAATTTACCATTTTTTGGCTCTTTGGGGCAGGATCCCCTGTTTTGTAGCTCCAGTGGAATCTATTTGGGATTTTTTGTTGTTGTTGAGGTACTGGGGTTTGAACTCAGGGACTCACGCTTGCTAGGCAGGCGCTCTACCAGCTGAGCCATGCCCCCAGCCCTCCAGTGGGCTCTAAAGTCAACTTTTCTCCAGGACAAGTGAGAACACAGACTAGCAGACATAGGAACAGGAAGCCAGGAATGGAAACTTCCAGCCTCTGAGCTAGGGGACGCTTCTGCCATTTTAAACAGCAGCTGTGCACACTGGTCCTCCGGGGAAATCAAGGCTGCAGTAGAGGTCCCTTCCTGGTAAAAGTCCCTTCCTGGGGGAGCCGGTCCATCTCCACATGCTCCTCCATGGGTCCCACCTCGTGCCAGGCACAAGCGACCAGGTGGTCCCAGCTTAGAGACCCAATGTCCTGTCTTGAGGTGGTCAAGCAAGACCAGTGCTGATGGAGTGAGGACACCTCTGTGAGCCAGGTCTGCTGTGACCTGGTGGCTCTGCAGCCAAGGGGACATTCAGACCTCAAGCCGGGATCTCTCAGGAGCAGGTGAGGGGCTCTTGTCAGCTCCTGTGCTGTCCTTATCTATTTCTGTCTTCTTTGTAACAATGTATTTATTTTTAAGTAGGGACTCACTGCCTGTTACAAAGCGGAAAAGGAACCAGCAGGCACAGACGATAAAAGGCAGGCTCCCCCCACTACCGCCACTGTCCCTGTCACTGTGAGAATAAGGTTAATGCGTGTCCCCAAGTTCCCTTCCTAGGGGCAGCTGGTGTTATCAACATATTCTTTTAACTCTGTTTTTAAATCATCTTTGGGAAACTGGTGGCTCATGCTTGTAATCCCTGCTATGCAGGAGGCAGAGATCAGAAGGATCACGGTTCAAAACCAGCCCCAGGCAATTAGTTCATGAGACCCTATCTTGAAAAAAAATCACAAAAAAGGGCTGATAGAGTGGCTCAAGTGGTAGACCCTGAGTTCACACCCCAGTACCAGGGAAAAAAAAAATCATCTTTGGGACTGAACTGTTCATTTCCTTTTACTTGTCAATGTTTATTACAGAAAACTTAAAAAATCCAAAAAAGTGTAATGAAAAAAACCACTACAAATTCCACTACCCAGAAAACAGCTTATTAACAAATATGGCATATATCCTGCAATCATTGCATCTTTACTGTCTATGCCTCTCTGAACATTTCTATCAATTAATATTAAATAATACATGTTTGAGACAGGGTCTTCCTGCATGGCCCAGGCTGTCCTCGATTCTCGATCCTCCAGCCTCAGCCTCAGAAGTGCTAAGATTAATATTTTTGGTGAATTAATATTTTTGGTGTAATTTCAAATTCCTCAGAAACATTTCTCAGGGCTGCATAGTATTCTGTTTTTCCAAGCTCTTTCCTTCCTGGCATTTTCCTTATGCAGGATTTTTCCTTTACATTGCTGCATCAAATGTGTTTGCTGCCATTCTCTACATATTTTGGAATTTCATCTGCAGTCTTGGGGTTATGCAAGATGATAGGTTCCTCAAAGTGGACTGCTGTGTTACAAAGTATGCAATATTTTGGGGGTGGTTGCTAAGCGCAGTCAAAGCTTCTCCCCAGAGGTAGCCTCCTTAATTCACCGCCCAACAAGGCTCGGGGTGGGCGTCCCCTACACATGGAGCATCTTACACTGCACTGACCTGTAAGTGACTATTCACTTGATGAGGCTTAATTTTCTTTGAGCACCAGTGGCCCGGTCAGGCTGGTGACTTGGACTTCCTCTTGGTTACCTGCAATCCGGGCTGGAGTGTCCTAGTGCCAGGTGGCCAAGGAGGGATGAGGGGGGCTCTTGGGGCTGTGATCCACCTGTGCCCTGCTCACCTGCGACCTGCCCTTCTGTGACCCCCTCCTGTGATGTGACCTCCTGTGATGTGACCTCCTGTGACCCCCTCCTGTGGCCCTGTGCCCCCCCTCCCCCGTTCCGCAGCCTCAGCTGTGCGGCCGAAGGCCTCCGGGGAGCGGGCCGTGGACAGCCGCACCCCCGCCCCGACCCCGAGGCCACCATACCCGGGCGGCGGGGACGAGCTTCAGCGTGGGCTCTGCGTCTCGGTGTCGCCTGGACCCCGCGCGGCCCCCTTCACTTACCGCGAGGCGCCATCTGGCGGGCACGCGGGGCACCGCCGCTCTGTCCAGCGTGGCCACAGCTCCTTCTCCAGGTCACCTGGTCACCTGGTCACCGAGGCCTGTGCGGAGGACCGAGGCCTGCCTGAGGTCAGGACACCAGCTGCGGCTTTGCAGCTTCTGTTTTGGTTTCTTTTTTTGGTGGCACTGGGGTTTGAACTCGCGGCCTTGCACTTGCCATGCAGCCGCTCTACCACCTGAGCCGCGTCCCCTGCACCCCTTCCCTTTTTTTGCTGCCTTAGTGTTCGAATAGGATCTCGCTTTTATCCCTGAGCCAAGGTAGACGGCGACGTTCCTCTTCACACCTCCTGCGTTGCTGGGATGACCAGCACGCACCACTGTGTCCAGCTGTTGGCTGAGATAGGGTCTCTGAACTACTCCTCGGGGCTGGCCTCAAATGTTGGTCCTCCCAACTTCTGCCTTCCAAGTAGCTAGTATCTGCCAGGCTCTGTGGTTCACGCCCGTAATCCTAGCTACTCAGGAGGCAGAGATCAGGAAGATCACGGTTCAAAACCAGCCTGAGCAAATAGTTGCCCAAGATCCTATTCTGAAAAAGCCCAATCCAAAAAAAAAAAAAAAAGGGCTGGTAGAGTGGCTCAAGGTGTAGGCCCTGAGTTCAAACACCAGTACCACAAAAAAAATAACAAAAAATGAGTTGAAAATACAGTGTCTTATTACTAATCTTTAATTTTTAAATTTTATTTATTTTTGCAGCACTGGGGTTTGAACTCAGGACATCACACTTGCTAGGCAGGTGCTCTACCACTTGAGCCACACCTCCAGCCCTTTTTTGTGATGGGTGTTTTTGAGATAGGATCTCTTGAACTATTTACCTGGGCTGGCCTCAAACCTCAATCCTTCTGATCTCTGCCTCCTGAGTAGCTGGGATTACAGGCATGAGCCACCAGTGCCTGACTCCTAAAAAGTTTTTGAAACGTGTGTACTTGGCACACAACCACACCTGTCGGTTCTGCATAACCACATATGGAACATGAGTGACCAGTGAGTTCCACGGTGGTCATCACAACTCTGTAAGACACATAACAGGAACTAGGGAAGTGAAGACATTCTCTTTCCCAGGGTATTTTCTGTCCTTCCCCAGTTCTGAAATCCCACATCTGGTGTTGTTTGATGTTCTAGAGAGCAGGTTGGGGACGTGCTGGGGACCAAACTGTGTCCCCACTCACTTCACTATTGTGAAGCCCTAACCCCCAGTGTGAAGGTGTGTGGGCGTGGGGTCTCGGGGGGAGAATTAGGTTTAGGTGACACCTGAGGATGGGGGCTCTGTCACACCATCAGTGCTCTCACAAGAAGAGACATGAGCGCTTTCCTGCTCCCCCAGCCCTACACTATGTGAAGACTCAGGGAGAGGGCGGCCATCTGCAAGCCAGGAAGAGGCTCGCCCCAGAACCTGACCAGGCTGGCGCCTTGGGCTTGGCCTTGCAGCCCTCTCAATGTGAGAAAAGAAAATTGTGTCCTTTCAACGCTACCGGTGGTGACAATTTGTTATGGCAGCCCCGAGATAAGACAGGTGGAGTGGGCACCGGGGAAGGCTTTCTGGTG